AGACAGCAGCTGGGACAGTTATTTTGCAAGACAAGACAGGTAAACTTGAGAATGTAGCTGCCGGTGTTTCCCTAACTGTTCCAACGCTGTGTAGTGAGACAACACAAGTGTGTAATGTCACCCAGGAGCCGCAAGGCACAGGCAAAGGATTAGGACCCTGAAGCACAGTTATGGAAAAGATTAAAAAGTCCCTTTCCCCCAGTGAAGTTAAAGAAGACCTTTGTGAAAACTGGATTGTGTTCACACAGAGTTCCCATGATAGTGACAATGAAGCATTCCTTATATTTGACTGAAATCAATGTTAAAACTAGGAGTAGTCCAAAAGAATAGAATAGACTTTATTGCCACGTGCACTCGAAAGAGTGCAGTGAAAAGTTTGTAATGTCATTTCTCGGCACCATCTTAGGTACAGGATACCTAGGTACAGATACTTTATGTGCTGTTGCAGAATTGAAATAGTTTTAAAAAAAGACTAGCATGGGAATACAGAGTTTAAAAAGTCCAGAATTATAATAAAGATATCCCGAAGTACTCAAGTTATAATCCTTTCTTGCTGAATCTGTGCCCACCGGGCTTCAGTAATCACAGCCTTGCTGCCTACACAGGGCTGGCCTCTATCCAGGACTTGCCTCCAGGACTCGTCTTCCCCTCCCCACCCCCCGGCCCCGGAATAGGTTCATGATTTTAAAATCCTATTTAATTGTAAGTTTTCAGAATTGTTCTTTATTAAACTGGTGCATGGGGATTAAAAAAAAGGCTTAGCTTGGCCTCAAAACATTGATAAATCTTTTTGGAAGACATCCAATTTGAACTCTGAATTTGGAATAAATTAGAAATCGAATATTAAATATTTAATAGAATATAAATTAGCATAGACAATAGAGAGTAAAATGACTGTTGATAGTCTTTTTAAACTGAATACTTGAAAGTATGCCATGGTATCGCCTGGTGACGGGCCGTGCCCCATCTGAGCCCAGCAGAATGCACTCTTAGTGCTGACTGTTTTAAATCTTCTCTCTCACCTTCTGTAGGGTGGATTGTGTTCTTTGAATATGATCAATGCACTAGACTTCTTCCAGAGCCACAGTGAATTGTGTTTTTTTTAAATATTTTGAATAGATTGCAAGAACACAGTGAGGGAGCTGGAAGTCTTGTGGAGTCTTTGAAAACAGGTGAATCCTGAACTGACTGCAGTCATTTGAAGCTTTAGTATAAGAGCACAATTTAAAACCACTGAGGCTAGACATAATTGTTTCTGAAATTGGGATTGATAAAGTTACTTGCTATAAGTTGCCAGTTCAAGCGCACAGTGGAAAATTCAATGGAATTTTGAAGGGAAAATGCATTTAAATCTTTTAACTTTAATTTAAAATAAGAGCCAATGGATACAGTGGAGGTAGTTTTAATTTGTTTCAGAATAAAATGGGATAGATTAATTTATTACCAAACAAACAATTGACCATTAATGAAACCTGTTAGCCCAACAATACTGCTGAGGCTGTATATAACCAAAACCTTGGAGTCTTTTGTTGTCAGTTTGAATTTGGAATAATTTTGAAAGGAAAGTCAAGTATAATGTAGTGAGTTATGTTTGGAAAAAAATTAAGTATTTTGTTGTCAGAAAGGTTAAATAAACAAAGTTGTTTCAAAGCAGTGCTTGAATCCACACAGTACTAATGTTTGTTACTCTCTGTTTTACAGCTGTTGTGAAAACACATTCTGTTGTTTACTCTGTATAGTAAAGATTTCTCCAGAGTTCCTGAATCAGCTAAGCCATTAGCAAGTAAGCCATTGGTCACAGTATACCAACTTATTCTGACTCTGCATTCTGCCTATTAACCTGTCTTCAGTCCATCCTAGTATATTGCTCTCAATTCAATTCAATTTCACTCTATTAGTCTTCTGTGTGAAATGTTGTCAAAAGCCTCCTGAAAGTCTAAATACTCCACACTCACTGGTTCCCACTTCTTAATTCTGCTGGCGACATCCTTAAAGAGCACACATCAGGTTTCTCAAACGTAACTTCCCCTTAATAAATCTGTCTCTTCTGTCCAATCAGACATTTATTTTCTAAATATCCAGTAATCACATCCTTTCCAGTAGGTATGGAAAAGGATAGACCTGATCTAAAAGTTCAAGTTCAATATTGGTGGACGACCAATTTTGACAATATTAGGCAAGAAATTTCAAACATTGATTGGGACAGATAATTCACATGTAAAGGGATGGTTGCAAAGTGGGAGGCCATCAAAAATAAGATAACGAGAGTCCAGAGGCAGTATGTACCTTTAAGTGTGAGGCTGATAGATGTAGGGAATGATGAATGACTAAAGAAATTGAGCCTCTAGTCAAGAAAAAGGAGGAGGCATGTGGTAGGGATAGACAGCTGAGATTGAGTGAATCACTTCAGGAGTAAAACAGAAGTTTAAGTACACTCAAGAGGGAAGTTAGGAAGGTAACAAGAGAACATGAGAAACCTTTGGCAAATAGGGTTAAGAAGACTTGAAAGAGATTCCACAAAGACATTAAGGACAAAAGAGTAAAGAGGGAGAGAATACAGTCCCTTAAAGATCAACAAGGCTGCCTATGTGTGGAACTGCAGGAATGGGTGAGATACTAAATGAGTATTTTGCATCAGAATTAATTGTGAAGAGGCTACAGAACTTGAAGAATAAACAGTGATATCTTGAAAAGTGTCTATGTTACAGAGGAGGAAATGCTGGACATCTTAAAATGCATAAAGGTGGATAAATCCCTGGGATGTAATCGGGTGTATCATAGAACTATGTGGGAAGCCAGTGAAGTGATTGCTGGACCCCTTGCTGAGATATTTTTATCATTGATAGCATGGGTGAGGTGCTGCAAGACTGGAGGGTGGCTAATGTGGTGCCATTATTTAAGAAAGGTGATAAGGACAAGCCAGGGAACTACAGACCAGTGAGCCTGAAATCAGTGGTGGCCAAGTTGTTAGAGGGAATTCTGAGGCTCAGGATCTCCATGTATTTGGAAAGGCAAGAATTGATTACGGATAGTCAACGTGGCTTTGTGTGGGAAATTGAGTCTCACTAACATGATTAGTCTTTTCTGTCACTTCAAAAAAAACTCAAAGGCAAAACTGTGGATGTTGTCTAGATATAGTTCAGCAACATATTCGACAAGGCTCCGTATGGTAAACTGGTTCACAAGGTTAGATCACATGGAATATTGGGAGAGCTAACCATCTGGATACAAAATTGGCTTGAAGATAGGAGATAGAGGGTGGTGGTGTAAGGTTGTTTCTCGGACTGGAGGCCTGTGACCAGTGGTGTGCCGCAGGGATTGGTGATGGGTTCGCTGATTTTTGTCATTTACATAAATTATTTGGACATAAATGTAGGAGATACGATTAATAAGTTTGCAGATGAAAGCAAAATTGGAGGTGTAATGGACAGTGAAGGTGGTCACCTCAGAGTACAACGGGATCTTGATCATACACACTTAATGGTAAAGTCCTGGAGAATGTTGTTGAACAAAGAGGCCTTGGAGTGCAGGTTCATAGCTCCTTGAATGTGGAGTCGCAGGTAGACAGGGTAGTGAAGAAGGTGTTTAGTATGCCTGAGTTTATTAGTCAGTGCATTACATGTAGTAATTGGATGTCTTGTTGTGGCTGTACCGGAGGTTGGTTAGGCCACTATTGGTTCAATTCTGGTCTCCCTGTTTTAGGAAAGATGCTATTAAACTGCAAAGGATGCAGAAAAAAATTTACAAGGATGTTCCTGGGGTTGGAGGGTTTGACCGAAAGGGAGAGGCTGAAAAGGCTGGGGTTATTTTCCCACACTGCTGGAGGCTGGGGATTGACCTTATAGAGGTTTGTCCAATCAATAGGGCATGATGAATAGCCAAGATCATTTCTCCAGGGTGGGGGAGTCCAAAGCTAGACAGCATAGGTTTAGGGTGAGAGGGCAAAGATGTAAAAGGGACCTAAGGGACAACGTTTTTCATGCAGACGGTGATGCATGTATGGATTGAGCTGCCAGAGGGAGTGGTGGAGGCTGGTACAATTACAACATTTAAAACGCATCTGGGTGGGTACATGAACAGGAAGAATTAAAGGTATATGGGCCAAATGTTGGCAAAAGCGACGAGATTAATCTAGGATATCTGGTGGTCATGGTCTTCCAATCCAAGATACCTTCTTGCCATTGTTCTTATTCCATCCTGTACTAACAAAGCTACCTCCCTTTCCTTTCGTTCCTGCAGCTACACTTCACAGCGCCACCAACAGCATTTTCCAAATCCATGACCTCTCCGACCAGAGAAGGACAGCAGTTACAGGGGAACGCCACCAGCTGCAGTCTGCCCTCCATGATACACACCATCCTGCCTTGGAGATATATTGCTGTTCTTTCAGACTCCCTGGCTCAAAAAACCCAGAACTCCCTCTCTATCAGCATTGTGGATGAACTCACATCTCCACAGACTGTTGCAGATCAAGAAAGCAGCTCATTACCACTTTCTCGAGGGCAATACATGCTGGCATGTCAAGTGACAGCCACATCCCACCAATGGATTTTTTAAAAAACTGGCGCTGAAGACGAATTCCCCTCCCTTCCAGTCCACGTCTCTCCGCTTTTCAAAACCTAAAGACCTATATCTTCAACCAAGCTTTTGTCAGGCCTCCTAAGATCCCCTTTGACACAGCATTTAATTTGGTCAGATTCGTACGTTTATGTTTCTGAGATGTATCTTGGGACACTTGCCTAACAGAAGGTGTGATGTCAATGAAAGTTCTCTTTAAATCAAATTGTGACAGATTGGGAAAGCCAGTATTAAAATAAATACACAGGTAAATGGAGTTGAGTCACAGATCAGATATGACCCTCAATGAATGATTCATTTCTTTTTCTTTTCTTTTGTATTTTTTTAAATCCTCCTCTTCTCTCTTCCAGCCTCCGAACTCCTAGCCTTCAAAATTCCAGCCTCGGACCTCACGACTTCTGAACTCCTGGCTTCAGAACTCTCAGCCTTGGATCTCACGGCCTCCGACTTGCAGGCTCGGAACTCTCAGCCTCAGCACAGACCCGACGAGGCGTCCTCTTGGACCGTTATGATGGTCTGCCGGCCCAGCATGGCTTCGGCATGAACTTCTGTCTCAAGGTGATTCCAGAGCATTCTCCTGGCCTCATGAACCCTGAGCTGAAGCCAGGCATGGTCTGGAGTTGAAGCCCAGTGCAAACTGGAGGCTAAGTGCCAGCATGAACTGGGTAGGAAGACCTGTTCTGAACTTTTTTCTCCATTTTATAATTTATTCCAATAATCTGCAGTGCTGGACTTTGTATTTTGACCTCAATTCTTCCAAAGAACTGTAACTGAAAAAGCTGTACTTGGGGACCTTTGTACCTAAGATGGCACTGTAAGTGGTGACTTGTACACTTAAGGGTCACTGGACCCAAAATGTTAACTCTGATTTCTCTTCACAGATGCTGCCAGACTTGCTTAGCTTTTCCGGCACCTTCTGTTTTTGTTTCTGATTGACAGCGTCTGTATTTCTTTTGGTTTTTATTTAGTATTTCACTGTATTCATTTGAGTACATAGGATAACAAAGCTAATTCTGATTCTGATATAAGAGATCTGAGTGATTCATTGGCCCCTTCCTGTTCTTATATTCCAAATAAACCAGAACCCAAACACAACTGATGAACAGAACGACATAAGAGCTGGGGACAAGACACGGCAACAGGAAACCAGACCTTGTGCAAAGTTTGTGAGTGGGGGATGTCTGGGGAGAATGTACAGAAAAACTGGAATAGGTCATTCAGCCCCTTTGAGACTGCTCAGCATTTCAGTTAGACCCAGACTAAAGGACAAATAGTCTCCTCTTTTCATAGAATCCCTACAGTGTGGAAACAGGCCCATCGACCCAACAAGTCCACACCGAACCACAGAGCATCCCACCCAGACCCATCCCCCATGACCCACCTAATCTACACACCGCTGACACTACAGGCAATTTATCATGGCCAATCCACCTTGCCTGCATGTCTTTGGAATGTGGGAGGAAACCGGAGCACCCGGAGGAAACCCACGCAGACACAGGGAGAATGCGCAAACTCCACACAAACAATCACCCGAGGGTGGAATCGAACCCAGCTCCCTGGCACTGTGAGGCAGCAGTGCTAACCACTGTGCTAAAAAACATTGACATTGCCCAGCTTCCACTAGGGTACACCACAAGCGATTATTGCTAGCGGTGGGATACAAACCCACAACTCAATAGAGACTGGAGCTTAAATCCAGCACCTTAGACCACTCAGCCACGCTACCTTTTTGGGCTGGAGTACCTTTCCCCATGTCCTTACCCCACCCCCGTACACTGGGCCTTGTCATCACATGGACTGCTATCACAAACAACACATTGTCTTTGACTATTAGCAGCTGTTTTATTTCACTCCTTCATCACTGACCAACACTGATTGCTCATCCCTAATTGTTCTTGAGAAGGTAGTGGTGAGCTGTCTTCTTGAACTGTTGAAAGTGATATATTCTGTCCAAAGTATTTCATCACAGGATCCTTCTCTTCCAGGACCTCAGCAGTTTCTTAGTGCAAGCACTTCTCTTTGAGATAAGCCAGATAATTGGCGAAACAAAAGCAGAAATTGCTGGAAAATTTCAGCAGATTTATCGGCATCTGTAGTCAGGGTCTGGAAGTCACTATCTGAAAGGGGAGTGGAGGGAGAAACCCTGAACACATTTAAAAGGTGTCTGGATCTGCAGCTCGAGTGCTAGAACCTGCAGGGCTACAGACACAATGTCAGAAAGTGGGTGAGGTTGGATGGATGTTTGTTTTTTGGCCAGTGCAGACACAATGAGAAGTGGTCCCTTCCTGCGCTGTAAATTTTCTGTAAATCTATGAACGGATTCACACAAATTAAAAAGAATACGTTAAAGCTCATCTCATACTTAGAATATTTTAAAGCACCAGAGATATGCTGAACTGTAATTTCAGAGTGAGGAATGACTGTTGGATTGCTCTCCACAGGAAGACAACATTTGTTGCTCAGCCCCTTATTTAGCATCAGCGTGTTCATATATGCAAAGAGTTTCGCTAAGTCAAGAACTCTGCTGAGACACCAATAAGTTTGTATTGGGGAAGGAATCACTTGTTTAACCTGCTTCACTTCGCACCAACTTGTTCACATCGATCAAAGACATTTTCAATGTTCTGGCTGTGTGAAGTGTGTTAAGAACAGTGATCTGCTGAGCTACAAACACACTCGCAATGAGGAATAAGCTAATCAGTTGCTGTGTGCGCAACTACACAAAGCCTGCTGAGAAACCAGTCAGTTTACACTGGGGAGAGCGCATTCACCTGCTCTGTGTCTGAAAAGGGATTCCCTTAGACATCCTTACCCACTGATACACCAATGAGTTCATAAGTGATGACGGAAATTGGATTCTGCTGTTGTTGCTGCAGTTAATCACATTCATAACTGAAACAGATTAATTCAGAGAATTGGGTTTTGTTTTCTTTCTGAGGTTAATGGCACTGTGATGTGACTGGAAGTCGTTATTTTAAAACAACAAATAAATCAGCTTTGTTTCAAACACACTGTGTTGTGTCCTCAGTTTCTCAAAGATGGCAGGAGCATGTTCCCTGAAATCCACCCAGGAAATGCTTTTAGCAGATATTCAACAATTGAACACATCACATTAAATAATTTTCAGCAACGTAGGAGTGAGGGAGATTTTACTCAGGCAGTTATTGTGATCTGTAATGCCCTGCCTGAAGAGGAGTAGAAGCAAATTCAACAATAACTTTCAGCAGTGAATCAGATCTCCTATTTTAAATAAAGAGTCAGAGGAAAGTAGGACTAACTGACAGCTCTTTCAAAGATGGTCGTGTCGCTATCAGGCAGGAGAAGGGGTGATGCCCAACTCCTGAAGAATAACAAGGAATCAAGGAAGTTATAATGAACCTGTATCAGACACAGATCACCCTCGAACGGAGCGTTGTGTTCAATACAGGGAACCACATTTTAGGAAGGAGGTGATCGCTTTGCAGATGTTTCAAAAAAGAAAATTATACAAGGCTATAGAGCAAAAGCAGGGGGTAAGACAATCATTGGCATGGACACGTTGGGCTGAATGGCCTCTGTTGCATTGTAACCATTCCAATATTCTAATCAAAACTCTGAGGAATGGACAGGGGAGAGGACAGATTGGCAGCTTCTTCATGGATGGTCCTGAGCCACTAAAGCAACTCTATGTTAACTGGTCTGAAGTTCTGAAGAGTTATGCTGGACTTGAAATGTTAATTCCATTTCTCGCGCCACAGAGACTGCCGGAGCAGCTGAGTTTCTCCAACACTTACTGATTAAACTTAATCCAGCATCCACAGTATTTTGCTTCTATGTTAAGTGTTGTTTGATACCCACTTTTCAAACAGGGAGGCAATGGTCTCATAGTATTATTGGTGGACTGTTAATCCAGAGGCCAAGATAACGTTCTGGGTTTGAATCATGCCAATGCAGATGGTGGAATTTGAATTCAACAAAAAAAACCTGGAATTAAGAATTTAGTGATGACCATGAATCCTTTGCCAATTGTCAGAAAAACCCATCTGGTTCACTAACGTCTTTTAGCAAACCGCCACCCTGACCTGGTCTGGCCTATTTGTGACTCCAGAACCACAGCAATGTGGTTAACTCTCAACTGCCCTTTCGGCAACTGGGATGGGCAATAAATACTGCCTAAAAGCTACTCCCACATCCTGTGAATGAATAAAGGAAAAAAAGATATTGAGTTCCCTTTGAATTCTTTGTCAATAGCTTTCCAATACCCTGAGGACTTTCTGAATATATCAGAGGAACATTTGGAACAGAAGGAGGCCATTTAGTCCCTTAAGTCTCCTCAAACATTCAATTCAATCAGGACTGACCTTTATTTCATATACCTTTACCTTTGTTAAGCTCTTAACAAAAATCTAACATCTCCATTTTAAAATGTTCAATTGGCTCTCAGTATCCACAACCTGCCATGACCAGGGATTTTACATTTCTAATTCTCCACTTTGCTCTCACACTGATATTTCTGTGCCGCACTCACTGCACTCTTCCAGTGAAGTTACACATAAGCTTCAAGAAAGCACCTCATCTTTCAATTCAGCACTTTAAAGCTTTCTGGACTCACCATGGAGACCAACATTTTCAGACTGTGAACTCTGTCCCCTATTTTGTTTTCATTTCTCTTGTTTCAGTTTGTTTCTTTGTGAGCTGCACACCTGCTCCAGGCACATCTTTTGTTACTTTGTTTCTTTTCCAGCCCCAACTCCATTGTCTGTGGCCTTTCTGTCATTTAATCTTTCCTGTCTTCTCCCTTGTCACGGACCATCTTTTTGTACTCGCCTAACCCAAATCTTACTCAAATCCAATTACATTTCTTACGTTTCCCAGTCCTGATGAAAATTCATATACCTGAAACATTAACTCTATTTCTTTCTGCAAACATATTGCCTGAACTTCTGAGTTTTTAAAACATGTTCTGTTTTCATTCTGAATTTTTACAATCCTATGAAGAATATCCCTGGTGTGGTGTATTTATTGAACACTTCTGCCATTTCCTGGTTCCCCAATATTATTTTCCCAGTTCATTCTCTCAAGGACCTGTGCTCACTAGATTTAGACAGGCAGATTATTCTTTTTAATCGGTAGCACAGTGGGTTATCAGATCTGACATGATCTCATTGAATGGCCTACTCCTGCTCCAACACCTTGTGGATGGCAGTGTTTTTAATACATGGTGGATGCCCCTACAATTGGCAGAAAGCTGCTGCATCTAATGTGGAATAGATGTTCTCCGGATGGATATTATCAGGCATGAGCAAACATTCCAACTCACTCGATTTCCATTATTGTGGAAAGTTTTGTCATTATTTATACATCAAACTCGAAGCAACGTGCCAATTTTCCACACAAATGCATGTTGCTCCATCAAACGGTGAATGTGACCACAAGCGCAGATTTTCCTGAATTTGCCAGGGACAGAAATCTGTCTGGGGGATTAAAACATTGCCTGCTGGGAGATATGGCATGGATTTGGGAGGAAACAATTCATTCCAGGACGTTGTCGGGGTTGCAGGGTTCGGACTGTACCGCGAGGTTGAA